AGCCTGAACTACATAGTGAAATCCTATCTTAACAAAACAAAACAAGACAGTTATGTTTCCAATAGTAAATAAATTCCAAAATTTAAGGAAACATGTATTCTAACAAGTTGGAATAGTCAATTATTTTTTGAAACTTTCATTTTAAAATTATTACATTTAAGAAACAGATGCTTTGGCCACTTATTTATTAAACTATAAATGTTAAGCCAAAAGTTATTTAGAGGTCTGATATACACATGGCATTCTTCATGATTAGTTCTTTTCTTTAAATAACTTCAGACATAATAAACATTCACAATCTTTTTGGTTTATTAGTCTACTTTACAAAATTTTCCATTTTTAAAAATTCTATATATTTACAACCTGCCTGTCCCATAAAAGATTGAAGGTGGGATTTTCAATTAAGTTTATAAAGAAGCATATCCTCCAAATGTTACAGAATCAAGAAAAAAAGCTAAAAGCTTTTTATCATAACCTTTTAATTTTGTCCTCTTGCTTGCGGGCATGCTGTTTAAGTAAAATGTTCTCCTCATGCAAACGCAAAAATCTGTCTTCCAGTTCCTCACGACTGACACGTGATACTGCCCGGTGAGACTTCATTGTCTGTGTTGTTGAAGTTTCTGCAAAAATGAAAAGGTAATTAATTGTAGGATTACTTAGAATAATCTCTAAAAATGATAACTGCTGTTAATAAAATAATCTGATGCACTCAGATTTTACTCTTTGGTGATCTAAAATTAAGATTGCTTTAGCAAATATTAAATATTATTTACATCAATGAATTGAGGCAAGAATAAAAATCTTTGTGATTAATACTTTATATACAGTATCTGGGATTTATGCATTAATAGTATTTACTGAAAAATTTATTTAAGTAATCATTCAGAATATAAGGTAGAGCTCTGATTCAATGGACTTTCCAATATATATGGTGACTGTTGTAAAAACTAAAGTCTGAAGTCAGTGTACCTAAGCGGCAGAGAGCTTGACTAAGATGCCTGAGGCTGTGGGTTCAATCCTGAGTAATTCAAGAAAGAAAGAAAGAAAGAATCCAAAAACATTCATCCTTTATAAAGAGTTAGAATAATTTGGTGACCCAAATTGATTAAGACGTTTTTTCTGACCTATGCATATTAGTTTATAGAAAATAAACAGTAAGATTTATAAGACAACCCTCCAGAAAAATACTAAAATTTAAAACCTCTTAACTGAAAGCTTGATGATTATTTTTCTTTAAGCTACTTTATATGTTTTTAAAGGTCTTTTATACCCTTTTAGCATGCATCTTTTTACACATACTTAAATTCGGTATTTTCATATTATTGGGAAATACACCAATTTTCAGTAGTCCTCCAATAAAAACAAAGAACAAACTGACAGAGAGTAAAGTCCTATGGTGGTTCTTGAGGACAACAATTGAACTCAATAACAAAATCTAATAAATAGCTTGGCATATTTAAAATTTACTTGTATTTGAATACTCGATACTCTTTCAAAAATCTAAAGCCAAGTTTATAAATACTTTTTACTTTGTACAATAAAATCTGCATAGTAGAATTTATGTTTTAATGAACAAATAAATATATTGATCAATGTGGCTACTTATACTAATTCTAACGATGATTTCTAATTGGCATGTATTTTAAATCCCCAGCCTTTTAATGGCAAAAAGTGGCGGCATGAGAGTATGGCTGAGGTACTGTTTGTTCACACAAACATAAACAGAGCTCTCTATTCTAAACTGTCCTTTAAAGCAGAGCTTTTCTTTTGTTGAAAGTGCTCTTTAGCTCTACAGCAGCCACTAAGAGATAAAAGAATAAAGAAAACCTTTAATGTATATTAAAAAAAAGTCACTATCACTTGCATAAACAAGCCATTGTGAGATTCTCTACATGAAAGACAAATTTTAAAAATAAGGCATTTCCTCCCATATAAAATTTAAACACAAAGAAATGTTTCAATGGTCAATGTGATTTAAACCAGGAAATTCAGTTGGAGGCTTGATACATTCTATGTAGTTTCTACTGATGTGTGGAATTTTAAAAGATGATTTAGAACAATTCTTTATCAGAACAGAGGAGGATCTTGCATTTGCTATGAGCTGTTGATAACTGATGCATGCAGTAAAATACCATATGTGTTCTAACTTTCCATCTTGTTTAGTCCAATCAAGAGCTATATAGTTACTTAAATAGTTTGGTTTGTACGAATATCAGAAATACTTTAAATTAAAGAAATCACAGATCAAAGTTCATGACTATAATAAATAACAGCTGGCTGTACCTTGTAACGCTCCCACTCCAAAGAGGTTTAGACCTATATCTTTCACAGGCAGATCTCCTGCAGTCTCATCAGCTGGACCAGACATGGCCTAGATCTGTGGAGAAAGGAAAACTCAAATAAACTCTTTCCAAGTTACTACATTAACTGTGAAATGGCATGAACCAAATAAAATGAAACTATAATGGACATCTCATAGTCTACATATGCTGCTTGAAGAAGATGAAAGCTTCTATTGTAAAAGTAATACTACATTCATTCATGGAGATGGTGTTTCTTTCAAGAGTGTATTTCCTATAGTTTGCTTAGAAAATGAGGTAAGATTATCATTCTTCCTTTTCTCTTATTCCTCTATCTGAAACAAAACAAACTATTTCAAATTTAAAAAATACAGTACTTCCTTTCCACCCTCCTCTTCTCCACAAAGCCAGCAGGTATCTTGGGAAAAGTCAGAAATTTGATTCAAATCATTGTCCTATCATTTTACAGCTGGTAATGTCATAAAACCTCTTTGAATTTTAATTCCTTAATTTAAAAGATGGGGCAAATAATATCTAGCTCAAGGAGTTTTCTTAAAAGTGAGATGGTAAATTAAGACCATTTAGTGCATGTGCCTGGATTGTCAAGAGTACTGGAAAATTATTTGCTTGATGCACAAATGAGTAGGTAGTTTCAAGTTTATGAAAAAGATTTCATAAACTGGCCAACTGGTTTTGTTTTTAATGCGTCCTGCTTTTGTCACTATAATGCCTAGGTCCCAGGGGTTACTTACCTCAATATAAAAGCTGTCCAGGTAATTGTAGTAATTTTAGTTTCTATTTTTTATAGAGATGCACCACAGTAAATCTATTTGTACATGGATATGGTCTACATAATGTTCAGTATGCAATAATACATATAAAATTTTATATTTTAATTTCCATCTACCTAAAATGTGAAATGCAAACTGCTAATGAAGACACTCTAAGGCAGAGGCTCTCAAGTTCTAGAATGTTGGTCCTAGAAGGTGAAGACCAAGAAAACCAGAAGTTTGTTATTAAACCTGTGGATTCTTGGAGGTTGGCAGGGTTTGATGCATTCAGAGAGCAGGTATTCACTAGATGTTTGACTAGATGAAAGGAATTAGGATCTGAAAATCCAGAGATCATTTACAAAATTGTGTATATACATGTGTATGATGGGAGAGAGCCTGGGAGATTGACTACTCCTTTTGGAAATAATACTACTGAAAAGGTCAATTTTAAGATTCAAATTATCAAGTTTAAAAACAGGTCACCTGTGAAAATGATTGCTTTTTCCATTAGTGTCTAGGTTTATTTTATAATAATGACAATGATCATGTTAACATTTAGTGAGTATTTTATGTTGAGATGCGGCACGTTCAAAGTGGTATGGCCAAAGACTTACTGAATGTTTTCTATGTTTTCAACGGGCAATTGTAAGTGCTGTACTTAATTCATTAATATGAGTTAATTAAATAACCTTACAATATCCTTGTGAAATTGTTACTCAAATGATTCCTGCTTTACAAACGAAGCCGAGACACAGGTAACTTACCCAAGGCTATTCACCTAGGAATTAGTTTTCTGGGGATATTTTGGTTGTCTGAATGGAAAGGGGAAGTGTTACTGGCACCTATGCACAGATGACAGGAATGAGAATAAACCTCCTACAGTTTGTACAATCTATGACAATTAATTATCTGGCCCAAACTGTTGATAGTGTAGAGGCTGAGACACCCTGTGCAACAGGGCAGTGCCTAAAACCATCTCCCTCCTTGCTCTTTCTTCAAGGCCATCTTTGGCATTGACAGATCCTCACTCTTTGGAGTTTAGCTCAAAAGGCTTTTCCTGACCATCCTATGTTACAACAGCCTTCTTACTAATTTCTTCACGGTTTCTTTTATAGCAATGGCCTCTATCTAAAATTAGCTCATTTATTAACTAGCTTATTGCTTCCATTAATAAAGTATAAACATCATGAGATGGATATTGGTCTTGTTCAGAGTTGGTCGGAAACTGTCTGCTACACGAAGAGCAGAAACGTTACTATTTAATGAGTAAATGAACACAAGAAACTGAAAATAAAATGGTAAACAAAGTCTTTGCTTTTTAAGGCACTGACAGGTTTCAGCTAGTAGACGATAATTAGGTAAGAACAGGTAACTAGGCAGACTGAGGATCTACCAATCAAAATGACTAAGTTGTGTCTGTCACCTACTGAAGGATCTGGTTAGGGATGCCAACTCTCATAAGTTATGGTTTATGGTTGGGGTTTATTTCAAATCAGTCTAGGGCGTGGGGAAAAGGGAGGGCGGTGACGCAGGCCTGAGAACGGGTGAGGCTGCTTTTCACGCAAGAACGCCAAGAGCTTATTCAGGTGCAGAGCGGACTCCACCGGCCTGGCGCATGCTGCAGCAGGAGGGCCGGCCAACCTCCATTCACCCCCATCTTTCCCCAAAATACTCACCGCCGCTCAACCCCGGCCTCAAATTAGCTACCGTTGCTATGGCGCCGACCGCATGTGTGTCGGCTGGCCGAGAGGAGCATGGGAGAAACATGGCCGAACCCATTGCTCCTTGGGAAATGTAGTTCTCCTTGAGCGCTAGGCTATCTGCTCGCCGCACAGTGGACTACGCTCGCACTGCTGTGGGACTTGGGAAAGTCTCAGGCTCTCAAGCCCGAGGCGCTTTCCGGTGTCTCGCTGTGCATCTTGGGAATGGTAGTCCTCGAGGCTCTGAGGCATAATGGCGCGGGGCTGGAGCAGAGCGATGAGAGAACTACACACAGGGGGCGGGGTCCAGACGAAGAATTTACGCGGCTCCTTTTGGCGAAGGCGATTTTAGTGGCAGCATGAAGCGCACTCTGACGGCTGAGGAACAGGAGCGCGAAGCTAAGGTATGTTGAACATTTTGAGGTCGGAGTTCTTCGAGCTCCGGGAGTTGATCGCAGGAAACCGGAAGGGCCTGTCTTGATGGTGAACGGATGCACCGAGTTGAGTCAAGGGATGACATGGCCTTGTCTGCGAGAGACCTGGAGACTCAAGTGTGTATGTGCTGCAAATTTGTGTTGCTCAGGATGTAGGCTGAGTCCTATTGGAGCAGCTCAGAAGTGAAACTCATGACACCTCTCTCCTTGGCCTGCTTTTTCACCTATTAGTAAAGTTTGTGTCCACCTTTGTGCCTCAGTTTACTGGGCTTTTACGTGTGTGGTCATACTAGCTGGGCTTTCTCGTTTCATAAAGGACTCTAAGGATTGAGATCTGCTTAGATGAAATATTGCTGGGGTCAGGTATTTCTATTTGGAATAATTGTCTCAGTGACCAGTTGATAACAGTCTCAGTCTTCAGCACAGTGAAGAGTCTTTACTATATTCTTGTTCTCTGCCTTTGCCGTTCAGCTCTGCTAGCTGCCAATGTAAGTGATGACCATAACGACAAAAGAGATTTATTTATTTATTTCCAGCATTTATTGTGTCAGACACCCGCGTTAGATGCATATTTGTATTATTTCATATTGTTATCACAGCAGATTGTAAGATGTATTATATGGATGACATATGAACAGCCCTATTGCACAGATGAATCATTGAGGCAAGAGAATTGAGTGTTTTCCTTTTCCCCCATTCCTGAAGTTGTGCTCTGTTGATTTGTCTGAATGTATTGAGAGTCTGTTCACTTTTTTCATTTCCAGTACCTTTGGCCAAACTAGCATTGTGTCTGCAATGGACTGTTACTTTCCCCAACAACCAGTTTCTTATCTGCCATAAATAAAGTGATTTTTTTCAACATTCAAACCGAATTTTGTTCCTTTCTTAACTCCTTACTGTGCTTACCACCTGCTTAAAAATCTTCTCTGGCCTTTCGTTGCTTTTAGGATAAAGACAAAACTTTACTTGTCCTGAAAGATTTGCATTATCCGGGCCCTTTCTGTTTTTGTAATCTTAATGGACATGGCACTCTGATCTTTGCCTATCAGCCACTTTAAACTTCTCAACTGTCCCTTTTGCTTGTAGTTCTTCTGGTCACAGGGCCTTTGCACATGCTTTTTGATGGCTACTCTATGTTAGGCAAATATTGCTGTTGAGAATTAGTGGTACATAAAATAGGAATAGTTCTTGCTCTCACATCATATAGCTTTACGAGTGAGTCTATCTTTGGCCAATATATTTAGGGATATTTATTGGTTGATTGATTGGTACGAGGGATTGAATTTAGGACCTTACGCTTGCAAGGCAGGTGGTGGAACTACTGAGTTACATCCCTGGCCCTACATCTAGAGATTTTAAGATACAAAATCTAACCCAAATTATAACAGCATTTCACAAAGGACCTGAAGTTTTTATTCTCAAGTCTGCATAAGATGTGGGTAAGATACTGTGGATGGGTACAAAGAGGGATAACACTCCGCCACCTGCCTTGCAAGCACAAGGGCCTGAGTTTTATCCCCAGTACCAAAATAACAAAACAAAAAAGCAAAGAGGAATAACCCTACTGTGTTAGCCTACACAGTGCAAAGAAACAATTAAATGTGGCCCAGTAGCACTGTGCATTATATCTTTCAGGTTTATTTTTAAGGTTATTTATTCTCTAGATTTATTGAGCACCTATTACTGTATTTGCTCACTGAAAACATAATTTTAGCTGAAATAGAAACTTTGCTCCAAAGGAACTCTTACATCATTCCTCAGACAAAGGACTATTATCTAGAATATATAAAGAACTAAAAAAAATCAGGCCCCCCAAATATAAAGATCCGATTCAAAAATGGGCATCTGAAATGAACAGACGTTTCTCAGACAAAGAAGTAAAAGCAGCAAGTAAATATATGAAAAAATGTTTCACATCACTGGTCATTTGAGAGATGCAGATGAAAACAAAACTGCAATTCCACCTCACCCCAGAAACAATGGCTGCTATCAAGAAATCAAACAATAACAAATGTTGGCGGGGTTGTGGGGGGAAAGGAAACCTTCTCCATTTTTGGTGGGAATGTAGACTGGTGCAACCCCTGTGGAAATCAATATGGAGAAAGCTCAGAGAGCTGGGATTAGAGGTTCCGTTTGACCCAGCCATCCCTCTGCTGGGTATCTTTCCAAAAGAATTAAAAGAATCATACCACAGTGTTATATGCGCACCCGTGTTTATAGCTGCACAGTTTGTAATAGCTAAAACTTGGAAACAGCCCAATTGCCCATCAGTTGGAGACTGGATAAAGAAGTTGTAATTTTTCTATAAAATGGAGTACTACTCAGCCATAAAGATTGAGAAACTAGAGTCATTCATAGGAAAATGGATGCATATTGAGGCCATACTCTTAAGTGAAATAAATAAGACATACATCTGTAAATACCAAATAGTTTCTCTGGTGTGAAAAACTATACATGTAAATAAGATCCAAATTGTCTAATTGACAATGTGAAATAGGAACAAAATGTCTAAAGGTGTAGGGAAAGTGGGAAGGGTAGGGGAAAGGAAATAAGGGGAAAGAAAATATGAGAAAAGGAAAAAATGGAAACAAAGTCTTTGTAAATAGGTGCGGGGGCAGGGATTGAAGGGAGGGCAGGAGTATGGGAAAAAATGATAACCAAGATCTGTCATGCAAAGGTACAAGATCCCAATAATGAATGTAATTATACTGTATACTTAAAAATTATCAATAAACTCAATGAAAAACAAAACAAAACAAAACACAAAGGAACTCTTACATCATTAAAACCATATCCTTTGCTTGTGAGGTAGTTACTAATGTCATCCACATTTTAGGAATGTAGAAATGCTTGTGAAACATGTTAAATTGGTAGAGCTGGTTGTCTTTCTGTTGCTGTTGGGGTTTTTTTTTTTT